ACATTTTCCCCTTGTTAAATGACCATAACCACAGATGCTTGCATTTGACAGCTCTAGACTCTGCAGTGAAGCTTGTATATGCAATATATATTTAAGTGTGTCCAAACTTTTGACTTGCAGTGTTTATGTGAAGGCACATGGAATAACCAGCACAGCATGTAGCAATTTTGAATAAAAGCTACTGTAACACTGGGACCAGGTAACCCGAGAATGTCAACCCATTCTTAGTTCCCCAAGTGTGACAATGTTGCTGCAAAGAAATGGCTTCAGAAAAGGACTGATGAATACCTGTCTGTTGTGCAGCTGTCTATCAACGTAGACCTGGCCCTCTGTGATGTATCCAGTCAGATCAGGAATGGGATGAGTGATGTCTGTTAGACACAGTAATTATTTAATCACAACATATCAAACAAATCTTGTCTCTTTCTTGCATTTAAACACTGCACTACAATTAATATAAACGCTACATATAGTGCCTTGGTTGAGCTTACAATCAGTGATTGAGGCACTATTCAAATCCCTAACTGATTTGCAGGCATTAAAACAAATGTCACACATAGAAGAGAAATTTGTGTAAGCTTCCCGGTTTAAAGACCTTTACTCTAAATCAGGAGCCCGAGAGCCCTTTGGAACACCAGCAGTGTTTAGTAAAAGCCGACACAATCACCTCCCTGCAATGCTGTAATGGGGGACTTCTGTTCAACTAGATAGGAGTAGGCTCTTCATACGTGTTGCTATGGTAACTGCAGGCATCAAAAATGTCTGCTCTGTCCATTTCACATGCCTACTGCAGTAATTCAAACAATGACTTGGAGAGAGTTAGGAATTTAAGGACAGAAAACAGAACACTGGAGTATAATCTGTACAATCACAGTGATATCCAGCAAATACACAATCAAGCCTTGTTTTAAAAGCATCAAAACATGTTTGTAATTCTTATCTGGGTCCACTACAAGGTTGATGGTTGAAGATGTCACTTTGGTCTAACATAAAGCACAGAAAGCTTTTGTTCTATTGCTGCTGCTCTCACCATCATTGGGCATGGTGAGAATGGGGATCTGGGTGATGGAGCCATTTCTGCCCTCCACACGGCCGGCTCGTTCATAGATGGTGGCCAGATCAGTGTACATGTAGCCAGGAAAGCCTCGACGGCCAGGCACCTCCTCTCGGGCAGCAGAAACCTAAAGATGGAGGGTGGCGGGTGAGTAAGGGGGCAACAAGATACAGGTAAGAAGAAGCCAAAAGATTCAAAACTGTTAGCACAGTTACAATTTATTTTCATTCCCTTTTCTTTTCCTTTGCTGCTTTTCTCCCAGATTTTCAGAAAGTTTGAGAAAATGTTGAATTTGCATGAAAGAATCCCCCCCCATTAGAGGGTCTAGTGAAATTCAAAACAAACTGACACCATAACCTCTGTGCATGTCCTGCAACAACGCAAGCATTGGATGTCTGGTTGCAACAAACTGTGCATTAAAAGCAGCCTCTAGTCTGAACCTAGCATTACCTGAATAATGAGTAAATCTGTCAGTAGAACACCCTGGTTACTGCTAATGGGACACAAAGAGCACTAACACTGCACAAAGCTCGAATTACTGCACACTTAAAATTATTAGTTCAATACAAAGGTAAAATATGACCTTGCTAGGTTGCTAAAGTTACCAAAACAAACACATTGGCTTTAGATGC